TCCTGCTGCTTGCTGGGTCCCAGCGAGGCCTGGGGGGCCGGGTCCTCGGGGGACGCCTGGGAGCGCACCCTCAGATCCTCGCTGCGCTGCACGTACTGGAGCTGGGCCCTCCGCAGCGCCTGCATCGCCTCGTTCTGGGGGCGGCGGAGGGACGCGATAAGCGTCCCTTCCTCTCCTACCCCAGCCCGCTCTCCACCTGCCCGGCCTCACCATCCGCTTCTGCTCTTTCATCCACTGCTCCTTGAACTCCTTCCGCCACTTCTCAATCTCAGTCCGTTTGGCGGCCAGGGGCTGGCAAAGATGGGGGATGGAGATGCTGCCTCAGGGCCACCTGGTCCTTCCTTTCCCCGTCGCCACGTGCCTTACATCCTCTGAACCCTTTTCTGGGTCTGCACTCTCCCCTGGGGTCTTTTCACCCAGACCTGCTCTTTCCCACCCTGGTGTCCCCACAGAGAGTCTCAGTGGTCACTTCATCCTTTCCACTGGGACTCAGAGATGCCAAAGCTCTCTTCCTGGGAACACTCAGCACCTTGCCACCCCACGCGGCAAACAAACAAAAGCACGGTTTTGCAATCGCACAGGAAGCCTGGTTTGAATCTCTGCTGGGTAATCTTGGGCAAGTTCCTCAGCATCCCTGGGCCTCAGCTTCCTCATCAGCAAAATGGCCCTGCTGATGGTCATTGTCTTCCTCCTGGGTGGTTGTGAATGGAATGATGCATGAAGGACAGCAGAGTCCCCTCACCTGATAGTAGTCTCTTTTCTGCTGGGCCACTGTCTCCATGGCTAGGGCTCCCAGGCTGAGGTCGTGCTCCAGAAACAGGGTGTAGACGTACTGCAGCGGCATGTGGCTCTGCGGAGGAAGGGAGTGTTGGAGGTTGCTGAGGATCTACAGGGGCCTGGCTGGGGTACTGGAGGGCTTGGGCTCTGGGGGGTCTGGTCATGGCTACCTGCTGGTGGATTGACACCTTGCCAGCCTCAGCGATCTTCATGATGCTTTTGGCAAACTCCAGCTCTGGGGGGAAACAGCAGGGGTCTGAGTCCAGCCAGGGTGTGGGTACCGCCTGGGGCCTGGGGCCGGGAATATGGGGACCTCACCGTGGCTGGCTCTCTTCTCGGTCCAGGCCAGCAGCTCTTTGGCGTAGCGGCTCCAGGTCTTGGCATACTCCAGGGCTGCATCCACACCCCCCTTGGTCCGAATGAGCCGCAAGTCCAGTTCCTCCCCTGGGGCAGATGGGTAGACCTCTGACCTCTGAACCCTGACCTTCCATGGAAGCCTTTCCTGAGCCCCCAGACCAGACCAGCAGCCCCTATTCTACACCCTATGGCTCCCCAAAACACCACTTTGTGGATCACTTGTCTAGGTTGCAATTTTACACGATGGTCCACCCAGACCGGGGGCTCCCTGAGGGCAGGGACTCAGATCCGTTGTGTACACTGCCGTGTCCCCAGCACACAGAACAGGCAGTCGGTGATGACTGGTTGTGGGAAGGACTCCTTTCTGCCCCCACCCCTCTGGCCTCACCCTACCTGTGAGGGGTGCAGGACCCTCTGGGGAGGGGCCACTGGAACGGCAGGTTTCACTGGTCTGAGGGGGAGGGAGACAGCAGTTCAGGAGCAAGCAGTGCAGGGGCCCTACCTCCCTAGAGCCCCTCCTCTTGGAGGCTCCCTCCTCCCTGCCCCTTGGCCCTGCCCCTCACCACAGTGGCTGTGGGGGTCTTGTCAGGCTCTTGGTCTCCTGAAAGTGCAGGGTCTCCAGCCAGCATCTCAAAGGTCCTGGGAGGTAAGGGTGTCAGAATGCCACTCTCCACCCAATCTGTCCCACTCAGGGGTGCTGGGGACCCCAGGGCAGCTTGGGGGATGGTCCTGGATATCACCTCTGAGACATTTCTTGTGTCTGGAGGTTTGAGGGATGGGGTTTTGGGGGGGAAGCAGGTGAGTTTTTTTTATGGGACTTGAGAGAGAGTTTGAAGTGTGCTGGGTAAGTTTGGGGTTAATAGAGTGGGATTATAAGGATCTCAAATGTTTTGAGGTCACAAGAAGGATATGTGGGGGTTCTAGAACACTTTAGGGATTTCCAGTGGATTTGGAGGGTTGAATTTTGGGATTATTCAGGTGGTTTGGAGGGCCCCATCTTAGACTTCTCAGGTTATTAGGTAAGTGGATCCAGATGTTGCAGGTTCCTAGTGGGGCTTTCAAGCACCTAAATAGTTAGGGATTTGGGGTATCCTAGCAGGATTTGGGAGTGACCCAGGCTCACACTCACACATTCCCCAGGGAGATCTCAAGGTTGTCCAGGCTCCGGAAGATGTCACTGTACCTCTTCCTGCTCTCGGGAGCCGGGGGTAGCCCTGGGGGAGTGGAGTGTCACATGGGCCAACCAAAGCCTCCCTCCACCCACAGCACCTCACCTCAGCCGGGTTGTTTGAAGGGTGGGGAGAGAGAGAGACAGAAAGAGTGGGGAGAGAGAGAGAGTGTTCTGGCACCATGGCCAGTGGGGAATGCAGGATGGGGACGAGTGTCTGAGCCAGAATGGAGGGAGCGTGGGCTTGGGTGGGGCCGACTCAGGGCAAGCAGATAGACTCAGGCACAACCCAACACAGAGACAGCTGCTCCGAGGAGCAGAGACACCCACACACAGTAGATGCAAAGCGACAAAACAGAGATGCCCCAGATGCAGCCACACTGTCTTCGGGGAGAGAGCCGGCTTGACAATGGAACCACATAGACCTCAGGCCAGACAGATGGAAATACACGTGGGACAGACCGGCGCAGAGCCTGCGGCAGAAGCACACAGGGCAGACTGAAACCACGAGGGACATAAAGACCGAATGATACTCAACATGCACAGCGGAGACACAAAGACAGCCGGAAACACAAGTCGGACCTTGCCACATTTCTGCCGCAGCCCCCTTCTAGGGGGCCCAGATCAGCACTGACCCCTCCCCGGGCTATGGAGGCGCCGGGTGGGGATCCTGCCGCATCGCCCTCTCCATCAGCGGTCCTGACACCCTGCCCCCATCACAAATATCAGAAGCAGAAGCGGCCACTTCCCCTTCCTGGGCCCCCTCCCCCAGGCATCCGGGGTGAAGACTCCAAAGGGGGAGGGATCAGGGACTGGTGCCCCGGGCCCCTCTCGGCTTGGGGGTCCCCACAATGGAGGATCTCCGCCTCCTCTCCATTCAGGAACTCCTCTCCCGGCTCTCTGGAGAGAGGCAGGCAGGACCCCTCAATGTAGGAAGCGGGGTACGGTCGGGGGAGGCCCCTCTCGGATCTCGTATCCCGGACCGCCTACCCGGCTCTGCTGCGTCCATGACCCGGCCCGGGGATCGCTCGGCGGGGACGGGGCTGGGATGGGATCGCGCGCCGCCGGGGCCCAGCCCCGATTTCCTGCCGCGGCGGCCGCCGCCCGGGTTCCGCGTCGCCCCGCCCAGCGGAGGCCAAGCCCCGCAGCAGACCACGCCCCTCCACGGAGGCCCCGCCCTTGGCCACGCCTCTGTCGGTCTGCCCTGCCCCCAGGGCCCGGAAGGGAGGACCACGCCTCCTCCTCGAGCTGCGGGAGATGCCATCCACGCTGGACCTGGATACCCCAAGACTCCATCCAGGCCAAGCTTCACTTACCCAGAGCTTTGCGCGGCCCCAGAGCTCCAGCACACTCCTCCCGCAGTGACCCTATACAGTCTGCCTGGCTCCGCGAGCCTGTTCCCGAACCTTCCACCCTACCACCCAGTGATGCCGGTTCCCGGGGATCTCTTGGACCCCTCACCCATCCCAACCCGACTGTGGCCATGGAGCCCCCTGGTGGAGGACTGATGTCCTGCCCAATTCCAGCTGTATCTGAAGTTCCCTATCGCTCTGGGCTGAAGACCCCTGGACTGGGGGACCCCCAGTGACCCTCAAAGCTGGATCATGCTCTTGAGGTCCTGATTACAGCACAGCCAGAAGTGCCCCTAGTGCCCCTCTCACCTACAGGGCAGAGACACCTGCCCTAAGTCCCCCAAGAATCATCCCCAGCAAACCCCAAGTCCAGAGTGCTCCCCTAGGGGTCACCTGAAATTGTCTCAAGGGTTCCACATGACCACAGCAGCCCGCATGCAAGGTGGGGTCTGGCACCTCTACCCCTCCAGACTTGGCTGGTCCTGGCCCCTTCACCGCTTAGGCTCCCAGGACTTTTCTTGGGTTGTGGGCCACACCCCGCCCAATGGGGAAGCGGGACAGGGTGGGCTGCTGATGACCAAGGGGCAAGGGTAGGAAATGGTTGAGAAACCCCCAGGGAGCATTGGCAGGGCAGGAGAGGGTGTCCAGAAGCCTGGGCCCAGGCCCTCTGGTCTGAGGTTGTCACATGCAGCTTGTCAAAGTTATAAAAATGTACCCACACCCTGCACTCAGTGGAATTTCTGGCTAGAAATAAAGACTGCATGTTTATAACTTTGCTTCCTAGTTTTTGGCTGTCAAGAAGGCAGATCTCCCACTGGCAGCGACTCTCAGCTCTCATGCTGCCTACTCTGCGATTCTTGAGTTGTGAGTGACAGCCCTTTGAAAGGAAGGACAGTGTCAGTACTAGGCCCCAGCCAGGTTGCCAGGTCAAAGCCTGGCTGTGACATGAGATGGTGATGGGGTGCAGGACCCCAATGAGTGTGACCAGAGTATTTGTAATGATGCGGACTGAACTCCCTCTCATCTAAGACACCACGAGAGGAAAACATGCTTTTATTTTGTGTATTATTAAAAAAGGAAAAATGCCATTGATCCTAAGACTTCTTCCAGTGCCTGAGGGTAAAATGTGAAGCTGAGACCACAGAAATATGGGACTACTTGTTAAACTAGGAAATATGCAGAGCTCTCTGGGCTTGGAGCTTGGTCGGTCCAAGTGGTGAATGCATTCCACATGGTGTGGTTAATGACCTTACACAACCTGTGGGGAGTGTGCTGGGACCTTACTTGGTGACCACCCAGCCCCCCAACAACCCCTCGTGTGGTGCAGACAGAGGCGGAGGCTTGGCTTCTTAAAATCACGGATGCTGCTTTATTTACCAAAGGTGCCAGCTTGGGGCTGGTTCTGCCAGCCAGGCCTGCAGACGGCTGCACGGGGTCCCAGCTCAGTCTTGGTGGGCAAGGCCGGGCCAGCCTTGCCATGGGGGCAGTGTTCCCTCCTGGGGTCCTCAAAGGGCTCCTGCCTGGTGGCAACAGAATGGGCAGTGGGTGCTGGCACCGCTGTCTCATGAAGGCACTTTCAGCTTCGGGGTTCCCAGGAAGAACTGCAGGATGCGGTCGGCCAGGAGTGCCAGGCAGAAGTCCAGGAGCAGGACCTGGGCGATGACCAGCTTGAACTGCAGGGCAGGGAGCGATAGTGAACTGGGTGCCTACAGATGGGCCCAGGCCGAGTCCCAGGGCCAGGTCCACAGGGTCACTCACCTCCACGGGGATGTCCACAAGGCCAAACTGGCTGTTGAAGTCAGGTGAGGAGCCGAGAAGCAGGCCAACAATGGCCAGGAGTGACACAGCCAGGCTCCATACCAGGGGCCTATTGTCAGGCAGGCTCTCCATGAAGGGTGGGCCCTAGAGGGACAGACGGATAGATAGCTGCGTGTTGTGGGGGCCAGGCAGGGGAGCAAGGCATGCTTGGGCAGAGGCTGGGCCTCACCTTGTAATTGATGGCGAAGGTGGCCATCTGCATGGCCATAGCCATGATGTACACGGTGCTGTTAACCAGGCTCGGCTCAAACTCTTTGTACAGGTCCACAAACTGCTCCTGCCTGCAGGGACGCGTCGGGGTCAGGGCCCCTCTGTGGCTCCCGCGGCCCTTACGGAGAGCCAGGCTTCTGCCTGGCTGACCTCGCTGGCCTGGCCCTGATTACCCCAAGGCAATGTCTGTGCACACGTCCTCGTGCCACCTTCCACCGCAGGGACGTCGCCTCCTCTGGGAGCACCCTGTCCACCCCCACACCGAGGCAACACTCACTTCTCGGGGCTCCGGGCCTGGGCCTCACGGTACAGGTAGACAAGACTCAGGAAGTGCACGCAGAACTGAAGCACAACCGTGAGGATGGTGTACAGGTTGAAGATGTTGGGCAGGGGCCGCTCCCGGGAGAGAGTCTTCAGGGGCTGCAGTGGCAGGGTGGGGTTAGGGCCCAGACTTGCCCTGGGGCCACCTGCCCACTCTGCCTGCTGGCAGACCCTATGCAGAGAGTATCTCCAACTCCTAGGGGTCACCAGTCAGCACCTGTCTCCAGAGACCTGCTTGCTCCCCAGCCTCACTCGATGCCCACATTCCACACAGTAGCCGCAGGAGTCTTAAAAATCTACACCCCATTCCACCTGCTCTAGAACAAACCCAAACCCTCTCTAGGGCCCATGAGGCACTCATGATCAACCCAGCTCACCTCCTGCCCCCTCCAGCCAGCAAAGCCTCCTCGAGTCAGCCCATGCCTGTCTGTGGCCCTTCTGCCTAGTTCCTGGCCGGCTCCCTCATTCTTTACGTATTGGCTTCAACGCCAGCATCACAAGGCTTCCCTGACCAACCCCGAGGCCTCCTGCACAGCCTGGGACCCACTTTGTGTTTTTCACGGCACTGCACTCTCTGAGAGGTCTTGATAATCATTTCCCCGTCTGTCCCCTCCTCGCCTGTGGGCTCTGTGTGGCCCACCTAAGACCCCAGGTCGTGGACAGCACTGGGGCCTGAGTTGTGTCACTTGGAGGAGCCTCAGCGGGGACCTGCCCTGCACCCCGATCCACATCTGTAATGTGGGGACGATAGTTCCCACCCTGAGGGCTGCTGTGAGGAAGGGCAGGGACGACACATGGCGGCACCTGTAATAGTCCGGCCTGGCTGGCTCAAGCATCCCCAGCCATCAACCCAAGAAGCCTCCCAGCACCTCCAGGGCAGGTACTGTGGTTCACAGAGGGAGAAGACACCCTTCAGCTTGGGCAGGAGCCCCTGCTTTGCCTGGGGTCCCAGCCCACCTTGGAGCGGGAGATGAAGAGGAAGCAGCCGGCCAGCAGAAGCCCCTGCAGCGTGGCCTGGAAGTCGCTGAACTTGACACCCTCCAGGTAGAGGACACTCTGACTATAGGCCAGGATGAGTGCGTTGAGCGCCAGGATTTTGAACATCTGCAGCGTGGTCACCAGTGTGCAGCGGCCCTGCTTGATCACGTGGCAGACTAGGGGCGTGAGGGGACAGGTGTGGGCCTGGGTGCCAGGCAGGATGGGTGGGGGGACAGGGCAGAGGGATGGGGTGGGTGGCAGGACTCACTGCACTGGATGGATGAGAGCTTGGAGGTGAAGGGTGCCGCGATGCTGGCGTCCCCCAGCTTCACAATAGGCGTGCTTTCGTCCTCGAGGTCCCGCAGCACCTGGCTCAGGCGGTCCTGTGGGGCAGGTGGCAGGGGTGAGACCTGGCAACAAGGAGGTGCTGCTGCCCCTGTCCCAAGACTTACCCGCTGGGAAGCTGGCTGCTCCTCCGGGGGTGGGAGCCCCGACCTCTGCCTGGCCACCCTGGAGGTGGCCCTGCTGCTGCTGTTGCTCAAGATGGGGCTGTCCCGGGGCCGTCGCCGCCGCTCAACAACCCGCTCAGGGGCATTGGCCAGGAGTGCCACACCTGGGGGGTGGTGTGTGTGTGTGTGTGCGTCAGCATCCAGGGGGAGCCCGCCGGCCCCAGGCCCTGCCAGCCCTGTGCCAAGGCACAGCACAGCGCAGGATGTCTGCTCAAAGCCAAGAAGGAGCTGCTGGCCTGGCAGCCGAACCTCCCCATTTTATCCAGCCTCCCCAAGGAGCGCCTCAGAACATCTATCTTACCTTCGAAACACTAATTAGAAAACAAAGAAAAGAAACAAAAAAACCTCAGAAACCAAATCTAACTGATTTCCGAAGTTTATTGCCAAAGATTACAATTCTAAGAAGTAAATACACCATAAATGCCACAGCTGATAAATAAAGCAAATAAATATTTGCAAAGCACTAAAAACCATGTTAGGTTAGTCTTTAAATGTCAATTCGACATCTGTTCTGTTGACCCAGATCCGAGGCTATGAACCCTTGGCAAACGCTTCAGCTCCAGCTGTGTCTCCTGACTTGTCCCATCTCTCTCAGCCTCTGGCCTCGGTACCTCCAGACGGTGCCTGAGCAAACGAAGTCGTGTCTGCCCCATGCAGCTGCCCTGGTGGCACTCGCCGCACTGTTCCTCAGACACCTGTGTCCTTTCCTGCCTTTGTAGCACCCTTGGATCTCTGATCCCATGGCCCCCTGCCCATCCCCTCACTGCCTCCTCATGCTCGGTGACGTGTCCCTGATGCTAAGCATGTGTTGGCAGAGCAGTGAAGGAAAGAACAAGCCCTCAGCCCGTTGGGCTCACCCACGTCAGCATGCTTCAGGGCACCCACGTCGTTGGTGCCATCCCCACACATGAGCGTCACGTAGCCCAGCTCCTTCAGGCTGGTGATGACAAACTCCTGTACGGGCAGAGATGGGCTGAGTGAGGGCTGCGTGCCACCCCCAGGGCCCTGCCCGCCTCCATCATTCCCTGCACCTACTTTCTGTTTGGGGGCCACACGGGCAAACACCTGCACATGAGGGATGAGGCGAAGCAGCTGCTGGGGGTCCTCAGCCTGCAGGTGGGCCAGGCCATCACCGGTGAGGCACAGTGCATGCTCCAGGGCCAGTGACTTTGGGGAGCCCTGGGCCAGGGGCAGCACAATGCTGCCATCGATGGAGCGCCATTCACAGGGTTGACCTGCAGGGTCAGAGCCCGGGGTCAAAACCGCCCAGTTGGACCCCCAACACCCAGTCCCAGTCTCTCCTCTCTGGAGCACCTTCTTGGCCCCTATTCCTCCTTACCTCCGCAACCCCAATCTAAGAATCCAGGGCCTGAGTCACTTGTCTGAGACCACGTAACCAGGCCAGATTTGAATCTAGGCAACCTAACCTCAGAAGCCAGGCATCCTCCCAAGCCTCCCCCTAATGAACTCCCGGCCTTGGGGCCTGCTTGAAACCCTGCTCTCCCAGGCCAGGGCACCCCGAGTCACTTCCTCAGGCCAGACACTTGCTACCCACTTCCTCTTTCCAGCTGGCTGGAAACTCCTCTGAGCACCAAGGACAGCTGAGGGCAGCCTACCAGCTGAGGGCAGCCCACTGGCTGGCTGGCCCGGATAGGAACAGCAACTTCCACCGGGCTTTTGTTGTGGCCATTTTGTTGGAGCAACTTTGCTTGCCAGTAAACAGTCCTGACAGCCACCTTGGGCCACTTGCCCACAACCTCTGGGCTGGGGCGGAGACCTGGGACCTGCAATGTAGACTGGGGGAAGGGCTAGGAGGTGCTGGAAGATGTCCTAGCTGGTGAATGTCACTCCCGAGCCAAGCCCTGCACTGTGCACCATCCCATGGTGTCTGACAGACCCCACCCCACCAGCCAGTAGGTGCAGCGGCTGGATTTGCCCCTCGACTGGTCTGACTCCAGGGCACTGCTTGCAGTCACTGAGTGATCAGTTTTTGGTCACTCAGGAGCAGTCAGTGACCATGAGCTCTGGAGTTAGGATGTCTGGGTTCAAATCCAGTTGACCTGGTCAGCTTCCTCCTGTGTGGCGTGAGGATGGCAAGACCCCCGTGTGGGGCAGAGGGACCGATGTAGTAACAGGCACCAAGCCCTCTACCCGGGGTCTGGCCACGCAGAGCCCCAGTTGGCTCTGTGCTCAGGAGAGGAGCCCTTGCCATACATAGGCAGCCTGCAAGGCCCAAGGTGGGCATGAGGATATGAAATGTGGGCAAGTGTGACTACAACCAACCACCTTGAGACTGTAAGTCACTGCTGACCCAGGAACCAGTGATCACTTGCATGCTACTGAACATGCAGATATGGAGCTCTGGCTAGACGGCCCGAGCCTGCCCATCGGGCAGGGCTGTATAACAGGTACTGGATGATGCAAGGTATGTTCACTCAGGCCTGGCATGCAGGTGGGGTGCCGGACGGGAGCTGTTCTTGGATTCAGGGTCCCCCCAGCCCCTGGCCACGTGGGACCTCACCTTTCTCTGTGGGAGGCTGCAGGATAAGCGTATGTGCCTTTTCAATGAAGTGCAGCTCCTGGGCCACATGGCAGGCGGTGAGTGGGTTGTCACCTGTGATCATGACCACCTGGGAAAGGGTGGAGTCTCAGTGGGGCAGGGGCCAGTGGGTCAGAACTGCAGCCTTGAGACCTGGTGGCCGAATCCCTTTAAAGAAGGCTAGAGAGGAAGATCCCGGCCCCCTAATGGGAAATGGGCTTCCAGGGACCACAATCCGCCCCCACTTGGGGGCATTTTATGCAAACAACACACATGTGTGTCTTTCTGAGACTAACCATAGCCTCTATTTGCAACACAATCTAAGAACCAGCCCTCAGCGTGGATCTTCTTGGCTTGGTAGCTGCCCCAGGCTGGAGGACACAGGCTCCAGCCTCTTGCCTTAGAGCCTGGTGATGGGAAGACAGGTTGCAACTGCTGAGGATCAGGTGGGGACTAATCATGTCACCACCCTGAGACTGCTCACTCACCTCCCACACTCTAATCTGCATCCTGAGTCCCAAACTAGAAAACACAAAACTACCAGGACAAACAGACCAAAGCCAACAGGACAGATGGATGTGGCCTGAGTGTTGCCTCCATGTCCCCTGACGCAGCCTCAGCTTCCTCCTCTCTAGGATGGGGTAGAGTGGGGAACAGACCTTGCCTCCCAGTGACACTGGGGGTCTGAGAAGTGATGTGAGAAGGGTGGGCATGGGTCAGGTCCCAGAGCGTCGTCAGGCCCGGGGCAGCGTGAGCGCCTCAGCCATGATGGCACTCAGCCAAAATCCACGACTTGCTTGCTGCTGAGACCTGGACACTCAACCTCATTTGCCCCACTGAGGGTGGAACTGTCCTCTGATGTCACATCTCCCTCTCTGTAAGTATGAGTTGAGACCCATCTGCCTGTCCTCAGGGCCCAGCCAGGAGGAGTCTGGCAGCCGTACCCGGTGGGATGCATTCTGGATCTCACGGATCACGGCCTTGGAGTCAGCCTTGAGTGGACAGGAAACCACGATGAAGCCGACGAACTTGAGGTTGCACTCCAGCGCCTCCCGCTTGACCTCTCGGGCCTGTGGATAGACATGGGGGTGCCCTCAAGACCTGTTCCCCCCATTCCTGTGCTGCGGGGGGAGGTTAGGGAAGGCCTTGTCCTCACAGGAGGGACACTTGAGGACAGAAACTAAGAGGTGCAGAGAGGTACTAGGCACCCTGGTGGCACAGAGGCTCAGCAGTGACCGGGTGGTCCTGGACCCCCCGATGGTGTCTCTACCCCAATGTGGACAACAGTGCAGCACGGAGCCCCCGTGGCTCAGCTCCTGAGATGGTGAAGTCAATACTCTCCTTTGTTAACCACCCAGGAGATGCTCACCCTTGACTTCATACCAAACACCAAAAACTCCCCGCCCTTATGGAGCTTGCCTTGTACTGGAGGAGACATGTAACAAACAAAACCACAGAAATCCGAGTGCTGAGTGCCTGAGGAGAGATGAATGCAGGGGAACAAGGCAGAGAACATCGGGGGCCAACACTGAGGGGGTGGCTCTGAGGGGGGCTGTGACCAGGCTCAGGAATGGGCAAGGCTGTGAGCCTCAACCTAGGCTCTGAACACAGGGTAGTAACCTGGCATTGGGTCTGGAAGAATCTCTCAGCCTCTGGGGGCAAGTGGACTGGATGAGGACCAAGAGGAAAGCAGGTAAAGGAGCAGCATTGGTGGTGGAGATGGGAGAAGAGCTGACTGCCAATGGGACATGGGGTGTGAGCCAGAGCTGGGGATACCCCAAGACCATGTGGTGACCAGGTGGTTGGGCAGGGCAGGGGTGGAGCTGGGCTGGAGATGGGGGAATCAAAGATGCCTCCTGGCATTCCCTGAGGAGGTGTAAGGACCCAAGGGTGTAGAGGTAGGAACCTGGGAGGAGGTGGCCCAGGTGCCAGGATGGCATGGGGTCCCACAGAGGGCAGGGCAGGAAGCAGAGAAGGGACTGAGGACTGAGTGCCACCCAGGACCTCCAAAGGTAGAGGCTGAGGAGGAGGAAGATGAAATCGCACCCACTGGTGGCAGTGCTGCCAGTAATAGAAGGCAATGTGGCTGAGGGGCTGACAGGATGGCAGGTAGAGAGTCTGGATCCTTACCTGCTGGTGAGTGAGGTGCCCCAGCTCCTTGTACCCCAGCGCCAGGACGCGGGCTCCTTCCCGGGAAATCTCCGTGTGGATGTGATGGTAGTTGGGTGGGCACTGGGTGAACTGCAGGGAACGCAGGGGGATGTCACCGACCGCCCCGCGCCCCCCTCCCCCCCAGGCCGGGGCCAGCTCACCATGGAATGCAGGGTTTCGGGGGCCCCCTTCACAGCCGCGATGTAGCAGAGGTCAGTGGAGCCGAGCTTCTCATAGGAGGCGAGCACGGACATTCGCTTTAGGGCACTGGCAAAATGAAAGCGCTGGTGAATTTTCAGCCCCTGAGTTTTAATACTTCGGGGGAATACTTTCTCATCTGGAAACAAATAAGTACGAGTCCTGAGGGCCTTCGCTCCAAAGAGGTAGCCAAGCCCCCGCCTGCTCCCTCCACTCCCTTCCTCCCCAACCCCCAGCGCTGGGGCCTGAGGTGGCTCCTGGCTCCAGGAGGGGTCAGAGCTGGGAGATGTTGGTTCAGAAGACCCTGCTCCAAGCTTTGGGTGGGGTTGGCTCCAACCCAGGGCGACACCCAAGGCATAGCCTGTCCCAGGTCAGAGCTGAGCCTGTGCCCACCCATCTGCCCGAGGGGTGTGGCTCTCCTGGCTGGGGGTGCGAGAGCTGGCAGCGTGTCTGCACTAGGCCTGAGGCTTCACCCCTCACCTCTAGTCAGCGTCCAGTCCACAGCTGTCAGCATAGCCTTCTCCAGGGGGTCACCCACAAGGGTGCCATCATCCAGCTGCATGAGGGAGTGGCATGAGGCCAGGGCCCGGTGAGTCTCTACAGGGATGTTGGACACGGGGGTCACCTCCTTCCCGTCTCTGCAAGGACGGGGAACAGCTGGTTATAGGGTGGAGGTGAGCCGAGTGGAGGGACCCCTGGGAATTGGCAGCTAGGATGACAGATGGGCCCCCAAACTCTGTGCCAGTCAGCGTGGGGCTGGGGGGTGAGGGGGGGTATTGTTTCGGTCCTCATGACACTTACGCCCATCTCACCAATACCCCCAGAGGTCGTGTGACTGCTTGGGGATGCCTGTGTCACTCACAGTGAGGACCGCATGGGAAGACCCTCACTTCAGAGGCTTGGGCTGGGCAGCTGTGTATCCTTTGAGCTTCCAGAAAGCCCTCTGCTACGTGCCATGTGGCCCAGGCCCCCATGCTCACCTGAGCCCGGCCACGCCTCGCACCACCAGGCTGTCACTAGTCAAGGTCCCCGTCTTATCGAAGCAGCACACTTCGACCTTGCCGGCGAAGGGGATCCGGAAGGGCTCCGTGCAGTACATGTCTGCGAGGTGCGAGCCAGGGTCAGGGGTCCCACTAGGCACCAGCCCGCTCGGCACCCCGGCCCTGTCCCAGAGACTCACAGAGCTTTGCCAGGGCGATGAGGGAGGTGTTGACAGCCAGAGACAGCTCGATGGGCAGCTCGGGGGGCACGACTGAGGTGAGGATCAGTGTGCATTCCAGAAACAGCTTGTAGCGGTTCCGGCTAGGGTCCTTGGTACCTGTGGAGACAGGGCCTGCCAGCCTGGGGCTGTGGGTGCGGGGCCCAGCAGACAGGTGGGGGGCCATGGCACTCACCTTCGATCCACACGTAGGCGGCTGCCGCGATGGCAAAGACCAGGAGAAAAAGGATGAAAATAAAGGTCTCCAGGTTGTTCGCAGTCACTCTCTTGACTCCAAACAGGATAGTGCGCAGCAGCTTGCCCTAGGGGGGCAGAGGAACAAAGCTTTTCCTGGTGCAGGGGTGGGGGTGGTGGTAGCCTGAGAGCATCAGGGCCAGATTCTCCCTCTACTGAGGGGGAGCGCCTGCCCTGGGTCTACGAGTGAGCCCTGCAGCCGACGCCGCTGCTGTTCCAAGGACCACACAGCTACGTGGGCAGCTACCACTCAGCCAAGAGGTATGGAGCTATGGAGACCAGTTGCCAAGGCCTGGGGATCAGGGAAAGAAGTGGCTGAGATAGGGGACGAGTTTTCTGGGAGGAGATCTGACTATCACCTCTACCAGGTAGTCCTCAGGCTGCTTTAGTGAAGAGTTTACGGTTGAGACTCTATTCAAGCCCACAGAGCAGGTGGTAATAATCCATCTGCTGTCTGTGCTCCCCACTAGCACCTAAGCCGGGGAGAGCGAGCCTGGGCTAAGGCTTTCCTCTACACCCCAGCCCCTAGCCCAAGACCTGCTGTGAGAGTGAGCCTGTGGAGTGGACATTTTAGGGCCTGAAAGGGCCTCTGTCTCGACTGTCTACCACCCACCTTGGGGTGCACCCTCTCCAAAGCTGGGCAAGGCACCACACCTGGGATGTGTTGAATCCAGTCCGCAGGACATAGGCCACGCACCCATTGTCGACCGCTGGGGAGACAAGCAGAGACAACGTCACTCACGTCTGCTTGTCCCAACTCCCTCATAGCCAAGCAGACATGGGGGTGATGGGGGTGGCGAGGCCAAGACACCCCCAGAGGCACCTACGCTTCAGCCCTGTGGTAGCCTTCTGCGGAGGGATGTGCTGCACCACCTTGGTGCCCCCGAAGATGACGTGGAGCCTGGAGTCAGCCTGGAGGTCCAGCAACCGGTCGGGGCTGAGGTCTTCAATGGGCTCCTGGGGAGGAAAAGAGGACGGTGAAGCTGATGCCCGTCCTAAGCCTCCCCCTCCATCTCCAGTCTCTGGAGAGCTGGACCATGGGGCTGGGAAGAGCTTGCCTGAGCCTCACAGAGCTCCCCATCCAACCCTGTGCATCTCACTAGAGACAGGTGCCCCGCCTTATCTTCTCTCCACCTGCATGTACAGCATCGACTCTTATGGTTCCACACCTGGCCACACCCAGGATTCACACCCTCCCTGTTTCTCTCAGCCCACCTCAATTTGACACCCCAGGGTGCCTGGACACCCCCAGATGCTCTTGGCCTCATCTCCTTTCCTCTCTCCATCACCACCCAGCTGCCCTTCTCCTACGCTGCTGACTTGCCAAGAAACCTGGCAGCTACATCCAGATGCTGCACCCACTTTTCCTCCTCCAGCCTCCTGGGCCAGAGGCTCCATTCCTCCTCCATCTGCACCTGGGCAGGATCCCGGCCCAGCCACCAGCCCTCTTCTGGCCCATTTTCTCCTCTGTGAATGGGACAGTGATGCGCCTGAATAGACTAAGGACCGCCCCCCACCAAGCACCTTCATCTGTGGCACCGACTCCCCCGTGAGCATGGCCTCATCCACAATGCAGCGCCCCCGCAGCAGCAGCACGTCACACGGTACCAGGTTCTCCTGTGGGGAGCGGCCTGCAGGGCAGGGGCAGGAGGGTTGGACAGAAGCCCAATGCAGGGGCTCCCACTGGGACAGAGCAGAAATGGGCCTCACCGATGGAGACAATGTCCCCAGGAACAATCTCGTCGCTGGCGACAGGCCTCCATTTGCGGCTTCGGTAAACCTGGGTGGGGGCGAGGTGTGGTCAGCTCTGGGTCATGAAGCGGGCATGGTGCGGGAACATCCCCAGAGCTGACCACACCCTGCCCCTGCCCCATGCCTGCCACAAGCCCAGCAGGGACCCTCCTCTCCACCCGGTCTTCCTGCTGGCCAAACCTGGATCATGTGAGGCTTGTTGCCCATTTTCCGGATCTCTGACATGTTACGCATCTGCTGCTGCACCAGAGAAGCCTCAAAAGCAACCAGCATGGAGAGTGTGAAGACGCTGTAGTACCAGTACTCGTCTAGACACCAGAGCCCCACGCAGAACACCTGTGGGACACAGGCCAGTCTGTTTCCACGCCCACCCATCCCTGCAAGGGAATGCCACGTGTACGCCCATGTGGGGCGTAGTCTAGCACAGCACACTGAGCGGTTCTGCCCATGGGCTTGGACCCACGAGGGCAAGGAGAGGTTTCCGGGTTTGGAGGTGGACACAGGTTGCTCTGGTTGTGAAAGCCCAAAGGAACGGGGCGAGGAGAAGGGCCAGAGCTGCTGCTTTACCTGGAACACAAAGAACGGTGCCGTGGCTCTCTCCTTGAAGAGCTCTGAGAAGTCGGGCACCACCATCTCGGCCCTGCAAGAAACCAGACCCTGTGCCCTACTTGTGGTGGAGGCCTCACCCTGACACCTCCACTGGGGGCACCACAAGCCTCCCTGGGAAATGAGGAGCTCTGTTGAGCCTCCAGACGGGACGCTCCCCTCGACTATGGCTCTCCTCATCCCCCAGGTACCGGGGCAGGCATGCTGACCACCCCCAGCCCTCCGCTCCACAGAACCCAGATGAAGCTTCTCAATCGGCAACAAGCTCTTCAGGCAGCTGCCCACCCAAGTGGGGCTGGTGTGAGAGCAGAATCCACCATCTGGTCGGGTGACAAGGTAAAGGGAGAAGGAATGTCTGACTGTGGGATGGGAGACCTGAAGCTGCACAGAGGAGGCCCAGCAGCTGGGTGCCAGGGAGTCCCGTGGGGGCCTAAAATATGGTGCCTGAGCCTCACCCCACTTCAGAGAGGGGAGATCTAGAGCCAGGATTTGCTAAAAACTCCCTGAATAAAAGCCCCAGAATTTGAAGAGCCAGGCCTAAAGGCATGTTCTATGACACTGTGCATGGTGGGCCCCATCTGGCCAGATCAACTAGGGCCTCCCTTGCTCTGCCCTTGAACTGCAGGGATGTCCCGGATGTGGGATGTGAGAAAAAGAGGGGCCCCACTATGATAAAAGCAACCAACAACAATTGAGCCTCAACCTGTATTGTCTTGGGCGCATTTGCATGAGTGGGGATGGTGTGAAAGGGGATGTGCCAGGCTGCCACTGTGGTTGACCCAGGTGGTGGGGAGGAGGTAAATGTTTCCTAAACATTTTCCTATTAGATCGATAGTTGTGGTACATATATTTGTAGTTTTTTGAAAGGCAATTAAGTCTAGAAAGATTCCCTAGAGGTTCTGAGGATTTTTGGTTGAGAAGGATTGTCACAGTGGGCAGAACAGGGGTTCTGAAGCCCAGCTCTGTCCCCACCCAGTCACAGCCACATGCCAGCACTGGTGGTTTTGGTGATTAAAGCAGAAAGCTCGTACAGAGCATCTGCCATTCTACCCGGTACAAATGAGAGCTTTCCTGTACAAATGAGAGCTTTCCTGATCACTCACGTCTTTTTTATCACCATTCCTAAAGTGTTGGGATATGTATGGGAAAAATATAGAAAACTTATGTTTAAAGAAAAAATTCAAAACAAAGAGGGGAACTAAATAACAAAACAAGGGCCAACAGCCAACCCTCATGGGCCACAGGCTAGGCTCCTGCGAAGAGCTGCCTGTGCCACGGGGAAGAGCTCCCGCCTGCGAGCCCTCCAGGAGTCTCGTCACAGGCAAGTTCAGGGGAGACTAGATTAGAGCAGGTTTCTCAGAATGCGCCAGCCACCTTCACCGAGGAGGTTTTGCTGAAAAGGCGGACTCCTCCGTCCCACTTCCCAGGTACCCAGACTCGGAAGCACGGCCAGGCACCTGGGCTGTGACCACAGGCAGAGCCCCATTCCTGTCACGGGGGCGACACATGGGGATGTCCAGACTCACTTGTTGCTCCCAAACTTCTTCTCGGCTGCACGGATCTCCCAGTCCTCCTGGAACCCTCTGTTGCTCTGGTAGTATGAGAAAGCATTTCCCACAGGAAACGCCACTGGGAGGAAGCGCTTCTTTTCCAGAGCATCGTAGGAATACTTGATCTTCTGGAATTCGAAGGACAGCACCTCCTTCCCATCTTCGCCCTGTGGGAGAACGTGTTTCTGTGACAGAGGACCCTGATCTGGGGGCGTCAGCACCTGGGAATCCTACCCAAGCCCTGCTCAGGGCAGCCTCACAGGCGGTCCCTACCTCATCGCGGTGCAGGGCCACAAGCTCAGTGGATCCATTGTTGGCAGTCGGCACCACCTTCACGAAGGTTGCTTTGCTGGGGTCGTACTCCTGCAAGAGGCAAAGCGTTGCCACTGAGCCCTTCTCAACCCTCAGCTCCACAGCCCCCATTGGGGAGGTGCAGCAGCTCTGTGGACATGTTCTGAAACACACCACTAGGCTCCAAGTGCTGGCTCAGCCACTCTCTAGTCTGTCACTGGGAAAGGAACAACACCTCGCCACACCTTTGGTTCTGTATCAGAAAGCCAGGGTCATGGACAGCACCCAACGCCCAGGGCGCTGCTGTCGAGGACAGGAACTCAAACAGGAAGGATGCTGCCCGGCAAGAAGTGCGCCCTCAATCCACGTGAGCCAAGCTCTGTCACAGCCCGCCTGGTCTCCTTCCTCACTCCTTTACTCTTTATGCCATGTCCTCAAGGGATGACGGACGATGAGGCTTGAGGCTTGTCCTTGCCTCAGCTAAGGGCCTTGGCACAAGCTGTTTTCTCTGCCTTGAACACCTGGTCACACAACCGGCTTTAGGGTTTTGCTCAAATGTCACCTTCTCAGGAGGCCTTCCTTGGCCGCCCCATTTAAAGCTCCCTCACGACATTCCTATCCTCATTCCGATTCTCTCTCTCTTTAGCATTGATGGCTGAGTATGAGTTCTATCTCCCCCGCTAAAACCACGAAAGTGAAGGGTTTTGTCTGTTTTGTTCACTGCTGTTTCCTCAGCACCTAAGACATGGAGGCGCCAAATGGGGCTCCACTGACGCTCCCTCCATCCTGAGCTGCATCCATCCACTGCGCTCTACCAGACCCTGTGATGCGCATGTTTGGGGAAGGGGTGGGGGCAACCGAGGTGACCCTGAGAAACAAGGCCTCGCCCCATGGGATGTCCACGGGCCACCAAAGCCGGCAGAAAACATAACATGACAGAAGACATAACTACGAACTCTGGTGACGCCACGGAAGAAAAGTGCAAAGCGTTACATGGGGCAGCCCCATGCCAGGCGCTCTGCAGATGTCATCTCAGTTTCTTCTCCCGATGGCACCTGAGATAGGTGCTATGGTTCTCACTTTACACAAGGGAAAATTGAAACCCAAAGAGCAGCGCACCCTGAGATCTGTGATGCAAACCCAGATCTGCCTGTCCTAACCCCACAGCTGCTTAGCTCCTCCTTGTTGTCCATCCCTGGAGAAGAAGTTAACAGTTACACTTTCTAGGTGCAGGCCAAAAGGCAGCTCTGGAAGTTTGGGGGGTGTCACATTCACCCCAACTCCCCTTCATTTTTTTTGTCCCTCGCTAGGGTCTCTCACTGTACTGACTTGAAGCCACCAAGCCCACAAGTTTGAACTTCTCCCTTGGGATAAGGGAGTCAAAGTGGGCTGCAGGGGGTGGTGGGTCGATTTTGTCTCTCTCTGCAACCTTTGGTGCTGTTCCCTTTCCCTTTTCTTTCAGCAAACACACACCCGGGATCAGAGGGGAGGCTGGTTGGAGGCTGACCTCAGCATCCATGGCTCCAACCCTGCTGGAGTCATCTGAGGCAGGCACAGAGGGTGCTGGCAGTCACCAACATCAAACTGCTGACCCAGGGCTGCTCTCACTCATCCAGATCTGGGGGCTGAGGGTCCCATGCGCTACCTTGCTGCTGGGTTCTGACAGCAGTCCTCACCATCACCACCCTCATCTTGCAGACAAACAGAAAGACTCTAAGAGATTAAGTCAGTTACTCCCAAATAACTCCTGCTCGTATTAAACACTGCGATTCACTTCATTTCAAGCTTGTTTGGGTCGTAGTACCAGAGGGCCTCTGAGCACTGAACAGCAGAGTTCTCAAACCAAGTTTCACAGACAGAAAAACCCTTGCCGGTCTAACCTCCCACTTTAAAAACCAAGGCAGGAGACAGACTAGAAGGAAGGTAGGACCGTTTCCAGAAGAAACAACCGAGTATTAGCTAAAATGGGAGCTAGCATTAACAAGCTCTATCAAACACCGACATATGCCAAGCCCTACGTTAACCTCTCCATAGCTATTACATTATCAACCTAAATGACTACACCAGGAGAAAATTCCAGAAGAGGGAAGGAACCTGCGTCAGGTCGCACAGCAAGCCAGCAGTGGGTCCAGCATTTAACCAGCGCAAAAGGGCAGAAGACGCCCCCGGGGACCCAGGCTCAGCAGATGGGAGGCCCGGGCCGAGCTGGGCACCGAACCGGACACTGCGGCCGCGACCCGCGGCGAGGCCCAACCGTGCGGCGTCCGGCTCGTGCCTGCACACTTACCGGGGTGCAGGTGAGGGCGCAGTGCGCATGCACGGACCAATGTCCCGAGAGAACGGTGAGCGCGTGTGCGAGGCAGATGGAAGCGAGCACGAACAGCGCCGCCTCAGGGACCTGCGCCCAGCTGCTGCCCCAGCCCCAGAAGCCGGCGGCCGCGGCGCCCAGCCAGGCCGGGTAGAGCAGCCCCGCGAACGGCAGCACCGTAAGGCGCCGCAGCAGCGCCAGCCGCCGGTACGGCCACACGGCGGCCACCAGCTCGTCGCCGCTCGCTATCAGCGCCGGCCCGGTGGCAAGGAGCGTGCGCGGCTGCGGCCCGGGCTTGGGCTGCCCTGCTGGCCGGGTCCCGCAAGACACCGCGTTGCCCGCCGCCGCCGCCATCTTTTCCAGCGCCGCGCTCGCTTCCGGGGAGAGGCACCGCCTCACTTCCGAGGTTTTACTTCCGGTGAGCACTGGGCGCCGCCATGGCAGCCGGGAATGGGAAGAGCCAGAGCAGCGTAAGGGGCTGGGTCCGGAAGCGGCTACTCAGGGCGCCGCCATGACCGGCTGTGGCCGGAAGGAGAGGCAGGGCGCCGCCATGACACAGAGGGCTTGAAAAGGCTCAGGCGGCCTGTTCGCCCTGCCACGCCGGACTGAAACCGGAAAAGACGAGACAAGGCGGGCGGGGCGCCCCCATGACAACGTGAACCGGAAGAGGTGAGCCCTCCTCCGAGACTACCCCGGCCTATCTGGGTCATGAGGGGCGGAGCCTGGACTCTGCGGAGGCGGGGTCAATCAGGGAAGCGCCGGCGTTCAGGGGGCGAGGCCTGGACACCCTGAGGGGCGGGGTTTGTCATGGGGGCGGGGCTTGTTAGGGGCGGGTAGGCTGGGGTCCTGGGTCGATCTCTCCGGGCTGGGAGAGCGCCTCCTGCCGGGTACTGTGCAGGGATTTGGGCTGGATGGCTTAGAGAGCCAACATAGGACACAGCCGCACTGGACGAGAGCCGTCATGTGATAAAAGTTACACATACAAAGTTGCTACTTTAACTTAAAAATATGAAAATGTGGTGTTTATTTGAAATATTATTTTGTACTGTTTACTTTCGTGTTACATAAATGCTGTTTGAACAAAACCACAGTAGGACTAATTAACAGTTGCAATATATATTGTATATTGCAATATACTATATTTTTTGTTTCTATCTTCTGATACAGCAATGTATTTGAAGTACTTTGAAACTATTGGATATTTAAATTTTATAAGGCCATATTGTTGCATATTCTTAAGATACATAAGTGTAAGACTGTAAAAGGAGAACATAAATGCAGTAGGACTTACATAATATTCTATATTTAATAAAAATAACCATGATGTTTCTTTCTGTCCCATTACACAGTAGGGTATTTTTACTTTCAGTTTTCTTTTCCAATAATACTTCTCTGAAGGCACTGCAACCTTTAGCACATCCTTTTCTTTTGTGTAGCGATAAAACTAACGCAAAGGTGACATCACTTTGACTTCTTCCCTGCTCTTATCAAGCCCACAATTACTCTGATTCTTGGGTCATCACATTCATTCCAATGTGATGACTCAAGCTAAATATCCTCTCACCTAAAAGCTTTCAGTATGGATTTTACTTACTAGCAACAACAGGCTTTTTAACTTATAGGACTTAGCTTCTAGCTCTCGAAAATAGGTTTGTTTTGTAGACCAGCTATTTGTCAATCAGGTCTTTGCATCTATAAATTCATCATATGCCAAATGTGTCCAAAATGTTCATTATTTTTGAACACTCTGAAGCACACTGGATGTCACCATAAATTAAACCTCCATTTCTCAGAGAGAGAGATTTTAAAACATAGAGGTAATTTGAAGTTGTGAAATCAAAGTTGGATTACAAGTAGTTACATTTTTAGGAAAGAAACTGAGAACATCCTGTTTAATTTGACTGCCCTTTTCTGATGACATTTTGAATTTGGAAGCAGTCTTACCTCAAAAAATGAGTCATTTTTTCACTGTACGAGTTTTTGTCATAACATCAAACAACTTAGGGGCAGTCACTTCATGCTTGTCTGGCCTCCTCATGGCCTCTTCAAAGATCATCAAAGAGTTTTCGAGAAACAGCATGTAAGTTTCTGCTTGATTATAATTGTTTTCTCCATTTGAATCTTCAATGCATTTCCAAATTAGAGGAGGACATTTTTCTTTTTAAAATTTAATTTTTAATTTACTTTTATTTTATATTATTTTATTGAGGTCATAGTGGTATATAACATTGTGAAATTCAGGTGTACATTATTATCAGTATTCTATATAGACTGCATCGTGCTCACCAGCAATATTCTAATTTTTATCCATCACTGTATATATCTGCCCCTTTACGCCTTTTGCCCACCCCCAACCCCAATCCCCTCTGGTAACCACTAGTCTGTTCTCTTTGTCCATGTGTTTGTTTATCTTCCACACATGAGTGAAATCATGCAGTGTTTGTCTTTCTCTGTCTGGCTTACTTCGCTTAACATAATATTCTCCAGGTCCATCCATGTTGTTGCAAATGGGACAATTTTGTCTTTTTTATGGCTGAGTATTCCATTGTATATATATGTACCACATCTTCTTTATCCTTTCATCAGTTGATGGGCCCTTGGGTTGTTTCCACATCTTGGCTATTGTGAATAATGCTGCAATGAACACAGAGGTGCATAAGTCTCTTTGAATTGTTGATTTCAAGTTCTTTGGATAAATACCCAGTAGTGGGACAGCTGGATTGTATGGTATTTCTACTTTTAATTTTTTGAGAAATGAAGAGAACGTTTTTCTTTTCTCACACTTTGAAAATATGATTTTATGGCAGGTCAATTTAAAAAGAAAAACGCTTTATTTTATTAGAGTTGATTTAGGATGAAGCAAAATTAAGAGAAAAGTACAGTGATTTCCTATATATCCCCTGCCTCCATACATTTAAAGCCTCCCTGATTATCAACATCACCCACCAGAGTGGTACATTGTTCCAAAAAAAAAAAAAAAAGTCTGTAGTTCACCTTAGGTTTCACTCTTGGTGTTGTACATTTTGTTGGTTTGGACAAATATATGGTGAAATGTATCCATCGTTATAGTCTCAAACAGAGTAGTTTTACTGCCCTAAAAATCTTCCGTACTCCGCCTATTCATCCTTCCTCCCCCCAACCCCTGGCAACCACTGATCTTTTTACTTTCTCCCTAGCGTTGCCTTTTCTAGAATATCATATAGTTGGAATTGTACAGTATGTAGCCATTTCAGATTGGCTTCTTTCACTTAGTAATGCATTTAAGGTTCCTCCATGTCTTTTCATGGCTTGATAGCTCATTTCTTTTTAGCACCAAATAATATTCCATAATAATATTCCATAATCTGGTTGTACCACAGTTTATTTATCCATTCACCTACCGAAGGACATGTTGGTTGATTCCAAGTTTTGGCAATTATGAATAAAGCTGCTATAAACATCCATGTGCAGGTTTTTTATTTTTATTTGTTTATTTATTTATTTATTCATTCATTCATTCATTTATTTTTGCTAAGGAAGATTCGGCCTGAGCTAACATCTGTTGCCAGTCTTCCTCGTTTTGCTTGAGGAAGATACACCCTGAGCTAACATCTGCGCCAGTCCTCTTCCACTTTGCACGTGGGTCGCTAACACAGCATGGCTGATGAGTGATGTAGGTCCATGCCTGGGAACTGAACCTGTGAATCCAAAGCAGACCATGCTGAACTTAACGACTAGGCCATGGGGCCGGCCCTCGGTTTTTTATTTTTTATTTATTTATTTATTTATTTTTTTCTTTGTGAGGAGATCAGCCCTGTGCTAGCATCCGCCAATCCTCCTCTTTTTTTGCCGAGGAAGATGGCCCTGGGCTAACATCCGTGCCCATCCTCCTCAACTTTATATGAGACGCCGCCACAGCATGGCCTGCCAAAGCAGTGCGTCGGTGCGCGCCCGGGATCCGAACCAGCGAACCCCGGGCTGCCGCAGCGGAGCGCACGCACCCAACCGCTTGCGCCACCGGGCTGGCCCCGGTTTTTTATTTTTTAATGGCAGCATAGTAACATACATTTCTTCCTTCCTTCCTCCCTCCTTCCCTCCCTCTATTCCTTCCTTCCTTTCTTTCTTTTTCTCTCTCTCTTTCTTTCCTTCTTTCATTCATGTTTTCCAGCTTTATTGAGATATAATTGACGTATAACATTGTGTAAGTTTAAGGTGTACAACATGATGATGTGATACATGTATATATTGTGTAAAGATTACCACAATAAGGTTAGTTAACACCTCCGTCACCTCACATCAGTTACCTTTTTTTTGTTTGTGGTGAGAATATTTAAGATCTACTTTCTTAGCAACCTTCAAGTATTTAAAACAGTATTATTTATTATAATCACCATGCTGTACATTACATCCCCAGAACCTATTCATCTTATACTGGAAGTTTGTACCCTTTGACCAACATCTCTCTGTTTCTCCCACCCCTCAGTTCCTGGCAACCCCCATTCTACTCTCTACAAGTTCCCTGTTTTTTTTTTTTACAATTTTATTTATTTCTTTCTTTTTCCCCAAAGCCCCAGTAGATAGTTGTATGTCATAGTTGCACATCCTTCTAGTTGCTGTATGTGGGACGCGGCCTTAGCATGGCCTGAGAAGCAGTGCGTCAGTGCGCGCCCGGGATCCGAACCCGGGCCGCCAGCAGCAGAGCACAAGCACTTAACCGCTAAGCCATGG